ACCTAAAATTCTGTTACGAAGAAGATTGACAAAAGCCCCCTCGATTACTGACGCTGCACACCTGATAGTACCCCGCGTTCTCTACGATACGATCGATAGACTTCCCCTCTGAATTACCACGTAATCAAATCTGCCTGACAATTCCTACCAATCGACACGTTCCCTTAACTTCTCACAGTGGAATCGAAGGGAGACCACCCGGAAGCTCCACCCTGGGGCACAGCTATTCGCGCTTGGTCTCTTCCTGCGCTGCACACGTCTTCGGGTACTTTGAACGATAAATATCTCGCGGTGGCTCGCGTGCCGCGGTCGGTTGCACGCGTGCACGTTTATTAGACGAGATCTATGCCGTTAAAGCACGGAATCGGTAAACGGATCGCGAATGCCGTCGTCGCTGCACGAGCTTGAATGGCGAGCTTCGGAAGAAAAGCTCCGGTATCGGGGCTGCATCTCTTTTAACGCTTCGCGAGACTGCGACGTCGCGCGAACTTTTCCCGTGGAATACCTCCACGCTCGCGTTCTCCCGGAAAAACCTTGCGATTTTTCAAACGAGCCACGCCGATTCGCGACTCGCCTTGTTCCAGCGGAAAACGGCTCGCCGTTCAGTCGCGATTCGCGCAGCGCGTTGCCCGGGAGAGAAAAAGGAAGGGAAAACAGACACCGGGGGCAAAAGTAAAAGCGTTACGTGTCAATTAAACGATATTCTGCCGGCACACGGTTTTTCCACCTCGCCCCGGCTACACGTGTATACGTACGCGTCCGGTAATTAATCGTGCCGCTCGAACAACGTTTCGTATAATTTTATCATTACATCCGACTTGACGCGTGCACGGGCACGAGACAGATTCGACGGTCATAATTAAAATCTCTCGGATCAGCGAGCCGCGCGCGGGGCGCCCCGTTTCATCCGCACGATTCGACAAAACCTTTCGCAGAATTTCCCTTACCGATCAGCCGGCTTTTTCCGCGAGATAGACCGAGACTAACGGCGTCCAATCGGGCTCCGAATTTTTTTCTTCCTTCGCACATCGTTAACGCGTTTTTTCTCCTTTTTCTTTAAATAACCTTGTATTATTATTAGCGACAGGAAAAGTGGATTTTCCCTTCGCGGTATTTCTCGGGTTTTTACGATAAAGCACGGAAAGTACGTTGGGAGAAGACGCGCGTTCCGAGGCAAAAATATGGATAAAACTCGCGTGGGTGTGGATGGAACTTCACGGTTTATTACGAGACGTAAGCTAGCGTGGGCGCGAAGGATATCTTGGTACCCGCGCGACGCGCCGATCTAATACCTATAAAACAATTGCCCCCACCCCTTTCCCGAATAACAAAGGAAAATAAATACGCAGAGAGGAGGAATTCGTCGAAGCGTCGCGCAATTGCCTGAAATCCGTCCCGATAACGGCATTATCTACGGCTCGTTTAATTAAACGATCCGATAGGACCGGGTCGGGAAAGCTCGCGCGATTTCCCGGAAATTAAAATAAACATGCCGGCACGGTGTCTCGCGTCCATCCGCGGGAACGTTTGGAAAATCAATTTTCGATCAGCCGTGCCGCACCGTGGATCGCTCGATCCCCGTTTCAAAACAGCGGAAAAATAAAACAGACACGAAAAAGCGAGGGAAATACCGGGAAAAATATGGAAACGAAGCGAACGAACCGCGCGGCGGCAGGAAGATCGAGCCCCGAGATGAAAATCCCGCGAGCTTTCGTTCTCTTTCGGTCCTCCGGTACCATTGACGAATTAAAAGGAGTAACACCGGTGGACGTACCGGAGGACTTCCGGTTGCGCGCAGCGGTTAGGGGCCCGTAACGGGCGCGAAGAAGATGAATCGCGGCTGCTTTGCATGCCACGCATCGACGCGAAGCACCCACGAAGGAAATAACTCGGGTTGTATGGCGTCGATAAAAGTTGCGTGCTCGGAATGCTAATGCGTTACAAATGTACCTGGTACATGTACGAGTCACTCGTATTGTTAGGCTGATTTGGCGGATGGAAGAGGGAGACAAGAGACGCGACAGATGTCGAGGGATCGCGGCTCACACCGGAGACTTTGATCATTCAAGGTTACCTTATGAATCATATCGCGTACTCCACGTGTGCCTAACTTTTATCTGACACGCGCGAGTACGGTTAACTTTGGCACCCGGTTTTCCTCTTCGTCGGAAAAATGGAAAATTTCACGCGAGATCGATGCGGAATTATTCGGAAAATTAGAGGGATCAAATCGGAATTAATTTCGTTCGAGGTAACCCTTAACCTGTTGTCCCAGGTATTAATTATCTTCCCGAAACCCAGACGCGAATTATTTGTATAGTATTTTTATATCGGCACGAAGCGCGCATGGATCCACTGTTATTCGCAAAAATTGTTATCGCGAGGAATCGAATTAATAAATAATCATCTTCGAATGAACGCAGATAATGTATCGTTCCCGGCTGATACCCGGGAAATTAATGAGTAACCGACTACATTATCGAAGATTCGCGATCGGCGAATGGAGGCAAAATCGGCGAGTGGGGTCGATAATAGAATTTCAAATCATCCCACGAAATGGTGTAAATTTCTTATCGGACGTCGATCAGAACTAATATTCGTTTGCTTTGTCACTGATAATCGAGCGAAATCTTGCTATCTGGAAAGCGTTACGCGTTACACATCCGCCGGGATGATTAGCGAATCGTTATCTATCTGGACACTTGTCGCGCAGAGATACGCGCGACAGCCAGAGTTAGTTGTAACCCGAAAGACGGAACGCGGAGGAAAGAAAGGAGTAATCGCGATACAGCGATTTTCCAGTCGATCGGTTCCCTCTTTTGTATCGACTTTCTCCGATCGGGATGCGTCGGAATAAAACCGGAGAAGAGCGTTCGATTTCGCCCGACTCAGCGCCGGCCATTATTACAGGCTTTTGGGTCCAATAACTCTTCTACTCTCACTTGTTGCTGTGGCGTCGCGATGCCCTTCGCGCCGCGGTTCCCTTCCACTTGGCTCTTTTTTCCCCCTTTTTTTATTTTTTCCCTTCCACTCCTTCGTTCCTCTCGTCGCGATTTTTCATCGTCGAACGAGCAACGAGTGGCGGAAGGGGATTGATCGCGCGCCCTCGACGGACGGCGAGGAACCGGAAGTCGGACGGGACCGGCTGGAATTCGCGGCAGGCCCTTTAATTTCGCCGTCCTTGGCGTGGTAGGAAATGAAAGTTTACGAGTGAGGTTCCGAGTTATATGAAGCTCCGGGCTCGCGACGTAATAACCACGGTGTAATCCAGCGATCCTGTTTTTCCGGCTGCTTCCTGTTTCGGGTTTATAGGAGCAGGCGTGGGAAAGTTTCGGCCAGAAACGTCGGGATTAACGTTGAATACTTGACAAATATTCGAGGAGTTTCGAGCACGTGGAAGAACTTGCTTTTAATTATTTTCTCCGCTGAAATAACGATAGTCCCGTCGACGCGGAATATCCGGTAACCAATTAAACGATCTCGTTTCCCCATTTTTGTTCGCGTATCCAGAGGCGACATTACCTACTCCGTTATCCGATACTTCGCGTCCGTATACGATTTTCCTAACGAGGCGTATCCACGCGTGTCCGCCATTACCGAAATTCCCGATTCCTCCGTAATTATACGTATAACCGGTGGAAAGATGTCGTTCGGCGAATCGGCGAAACAAACGATCTCGAAAGGCGATTTCGCTGTGGCGGGATTCCAGTCACGAAGCTCTTCCACTTACCGCGCACCGATAGAAATATAGAGATACTTTTTCCCGAGCGGTGAATCATTTATTCGAATCGTTTCTCTCCAATCAAAGGCGGACGAACATTTTACGCTGCACCGTTCGATAGATCGGCGATGTTTATCGGCGAGCCGTGCAGCCGCCGCGATTTCCCTTGAAATATTTAACAAAAGGACGGCCGTGCCGTGCCGTGCCGTGCCGTGCCGTGCCGTGCCGTGCCGTGCCGTGCCGGCGAGGAATTAATTTTTCAGACCAGTCGATTAGGTGGTCGCTTCATCTCCGTAGATGCCATCGAAATTCCAAATTCCACGACGACTGCTCGATATCCAACGCTCTCGGTACCGCAGATCCCGGCTATCCATACGAATCGGATTTTACCAAATTGGAGTAGAATTTTCACGAACGTGGCCTCGGTTTCCCGGGGCGTGTACACTGGCACACGCTCGACAGGGGTAACAGAAACGGGGAAAAGGTGGAAAAAGAAGCGGAGGATCGGAGAAGACGCTGCTAAGAGAGCTACGTCGGATGATGAAGCGAATCAAGTAACAGTGGTGGCTTACGTGCGATGCAGCCCTAAAGCATCGACCGGGCAGCGAGTTTCCTGGAAACGCGTTAGCAACGAAACGTCTGTGCTTGGAATTTTCAAGCACGCCGAATTACATCCCCGTCACGGAATCAATGGTAGCCGAGAAATACGTAAGCGATGACGTCGACGAGGAAGGAAAGCAGGGGTATGTTGTTCCGCGCGTTTGCTGCCTCCACCCGGGCCACTCGTGGGAATTTTAATTTATTCCCCAGGGAGCTGGCGAACGTCGGTAGAAGGGTAACTAGCAGGTTAGCTGCGTCGCAGTTTGCTACGAGATTAGCAACGCATCGCTGATCGGTGTCGTACTCGCAGCAAAGATACGACAAAGGAGCTTCGATGCACGAAGATCGATAGAATAATCAGAATTTATTTGAAACTGTCATAATCGTTATTAGCAAAAGTAGTGCAAGTATTACTCGATTTTTCGATACATCGTTACGATACATAGGTTAAAGCTCGAACGTTAGAATCGTATATAAACACCTTCGTATGATTGAACACGTTAATTGGAAACTGAACACACTTCCTTACGAATTATCCGTCAGCGGCATCGTATCGAAGTCGGTGAAATGTATCTCCTGATATATAGCTAATTACTAGTTTTCGTCATCTCGTTCCTTATCGCCGGAATCTAATTCAGAATCGTTTCCACCATGGTACAACAGATGGATTTACACTGACCGAATCAGCGGGCTCGGTAGTGGCATCTGAGTCTGAGTCTGTCCAAGGGTTAGTGGTTGGTTCTGTAGAGCTTGAGTCTGCCCAAGGGGTAGAGGTTGGTTCTGTAGAGCTTGAGTCTGTCCAAGGGTTAGTGGTTGGTTCTGTAGAGCTTGACTCTGTCCAAGGGGTAGAGGTTGGTTCTGTAGAGCTTGACTCTGTCCAAGGGGTAGAGGTTGGTTCTGTAGAGCTTGACTCTGTCCAAGGGGTAGAGGTTGGTTCTGTAGAGCTTGACTCTGTCCAAGGGGTAGAGGTTGGTTCTGTAGAGCTTGACTCTGTCCAAGGGGTAGAAGTTGGTTCTGTAGAGCTTGACTCTGTCCAACTCGTGGAAGTTGTTTCCGTGCTAGTAGTGGTTGGTTCCGTGGTAGTGGTTGTGGTTGATTCCGTGGTAGTACTGGTGGTTGGTTCTGGTGTGGTCGTTGTTGCGTGAGGATCAGGAATAGCGTAAACGGTAGCCTTTAGCATCAGGCCCCAGCCTGGTCTTCCGACTACCAGGACGACGACCGAATCTGATCCAAGGTAGCCTTTGATAGGCCTGATGCTTACCACCTTTGGATTCACGTCTATCACGCTGATGAATGAGATTACATAGCCGGGTGGAGCAACCGCATTGATTGTCACGGTCTGACTAACCCCGGGCACTAGTGGCTGCAAGCAGAAGCACGGGTTTTAAAGTTGGAAATTCGTTATTAATTATCGATTAACCGTAAAACTATCGCGATAGATTTCTTACCTTGAATACAGGCGTCTCGCTGACGAGCTGGTCGTTGAACCAACGCCTGCCAAGAATCAAATTGTTACCCCATGCGCAGGCAATTAGGGACAAACAGGCGAGCAAGAAAATTTGACTACGCATCTTGAATATCCTCGGCACGAACTGGTCTGACTGATGTCTCAAATGTGTCGTGCAACTGTCCACGATATATTATATAGCTTTTCCTTATCAACAGTCACAGACAATTCGTCGAAGATTAACCCGATTATATTAACTCGAAGATCATTATCATAGAGTAGTGACAACAACTTACATAACGATATCTGCTTTTCGCTTTTCATCGTACACCTCGTGAAGGTGACTGATACTTCCACTACTGTACTTGGCGATGCAGATATTTCCCCCTCCGCGATCATGGCTGCTACTTTCGTTTGTACCTTTCAAACAGTCAAAGATGAGGCTCTTATCGATACTTCTCCCACCACGGTGAGAAGGCAAATGAGAAGCGGCAAGAATTCTTAAAAATTAAGGTATCGCAGTACCGTATTTTTGCCATCATGTGCACGTAGCTTTACGAGGGTTACCGAAAGAGCGAGGGTCGAAGGTATAAAGTCCAGGTTAGTTGAGTAAAGCCCTGGACGATGCGTCAGGCCCTTAACACGACCATATTTGGGGGAAACGCAGGAAATAACATAGGGGATAAAAACATAGGGAAACATAGGAAAGCTCGTGGGAAAGAAATATAAAATGGACCAACAACGACAAAAGGTTAGTTATTATCGAATTGCAGTCTAAGACAGTCATTGTTGACTCGAGTTACAAAATCGAGAATCGAAGTCGAACAGAGTTGTACAATAGTATCGTAATGTCGAGGAATAATTCGTACCTTTATTGTCAGTCGTACATTTTCATATTATGTGTTATTATCGAATTGCAGTCTAAGACAGTCATTGTTGACTCGAGTTACAAAATCGAGAATCGAAATCGAACAGAGTTGTACAATAGTATCATAATGTCGAGGAATAATTCGTATTGTCACTCGTACATTTTCATATTATAGTTAATTTATCGTTACCGATAAACATTACCGTCGTCCAATTTCCACGATATCCGTTCGAGCATCGCGAAAACTTTCATCCTTCCCCGAAACTAACCGCGTTATTTTCCCTTCACCCGGAACAGGCGATGCTGTCCCCCCTGTATCCATTCCTCGGTGCATCCAGTCGAAATCCGGCTCAGTCCAAAGAGACGACGATTTACAAGACGGAAATTGACGCATTCGTTTCCGGATTACCATGAAAATGGTAGCCCGAGACCACGAGATGCGATCCGGGATCCTTATCTGCCGAGACGACAGTAACGACTCATCTTCCACGGCACTGTTCATTGTCAACTCGCTGGGGGGTCAGATAAATCGAGATACACGCGATAACGAATCGCTGTGCACGCTGCAGTAAATTGAAAGTGATTTTTAAGGCTGTGACGTCGAACTATAACATGGCCACGAATTCTACTTACAGCCGATTAAGATCGAGGGAAGGAGACTGGCGATATAGCATTCGATATTTTTCTACTCCGCTAGGCTGTCGGAATGGAATATTTCGAACGCATAGACACAAATATGCGAAGCGTGATTGAAGGATGAACCGATCGATCACCGATACGGAAGAACAAAACGGTGCACATCGCGTTTATTTTCGTCGTTTGCCCTCTGATAACCGATCTCGCGTGTGTCACGATCTTCCTCGAGGATAATTAAAATTCGCGGTACTCTGTCTTCCGAGAAACGATCCATTGATCATGCGGCTGTTATGCGACTCCTTCGTGAGAACCGAGAGTAACGAGCTCGACTTTCTACTTATTCTAGAGTAGCAGATTACGAGACATGTCTCTGGACAAAGTCGGACGTCGCGAAATTCCGCAAATGAAATCTCAACCACCCCCTAGCTATATTCCACTGTTGGAACACGGATTGAGAACGTTATAGACCGATTAATCTTTCGTAATACAGTACAGTTATCGGCGGTGCTTATATATATTTACTTTTTGGTGGGGTGAAAATGACCATTGACTCTGTTAACCCTTTGCGCTCGATGATTTTTTGGCTAAAGAAGAATAGGAGTTTCAAGATCTTCTGTTACAGAGCTGACGATATTTTTCTGAGCAGCGAATAAGAAGTCGTATGATAATTAACGCGTAGAATTATTTGATTTCGATGGGCGCCTCTTGAGCGTAAAGGGTTAAAGAACCGTGACAACCTAGTGACGATATACAAGCCCTAAGTCCAGGTAGGAATAGTAAGATGTTTCGAACTCTGACGTTGGCCTGCCTTTATCAGCTAGATCCTTTCAATGACCAAGAGTGAACCAGGACCGTTGGTCATCCAAGACTACTATCCAATGCCCGGTATCGAACTCGTAGATCGATCGATAGTTTCGATAATTCGTCCCTTGGCATTCAACCCTAATGCTCAGCTTAGAATTTGTATTCGCGACGTCGTGCTCGGCAAACAGGACGATCGGTTCGCGTTCCGCTGATCTTTTCAACGGTTAACTAATTTAAGGCTACGTCCCTTGACTGGAGCGTTAATTTATGGGACGCGTGCCGCGGGAACGTGACTTGGAGATTTTTGGAACACCGTCTCGAACGGAAACTTCGTTCTCGTCCTTTCCTCGAGCACGTCACGGGTAGAAAGAAAAGGAAAAGTGAAACGGCGTCGAAAGTTCCCGAGGATAGAGATAAAAATTACACAACTGTTGATAAAGTGATGCAAGAATCGGTTTATACTCTAATTCGAGTCTTATCTCGATTAGCTGATTTAAAACGCCGATAAACTAGTTTGTTTTGCACGATTCGGAGAGCGTTACGTGCTGAAAGTCAGTCCACTACTCCAAGTACTTTTACTAGTTTCGATGACTGTCACGATTTCGAATTCGACAGAGAAGAGGAAGCTGAAAAGTTCGCCTGTCCTTTGGAAATTCGCCATCGGGCAGCAATCGCTGTTCGGCCAGTGCGAAACGAACCTTTGGCCCAGCGAAATTCCCGCGTCTGTGGAAAATAATCGAAACGAGGACGAGGCGGGAAAGAGCGGAAACAGGCCTGTCCGCGTAAATCTTCCTCCCGGGGACATTAGGATCGCTGACGTTTCGGCTCGCTGCGAGGACTGGAAACGTGTAACCGATGTTGCAGCTCATACGCGCATCCCTGTTATTACGCGTGGCACACGGGGCTCAAAGCGGTCGGGCTTGCATAAATCTCTGGAGAAATTAAAGTGCGCCGCTCGGCCGCTCTGCAAAACGGAATTGTGTAGGGAAGAAAAATAATTTGCGTGCACCGGGAGTCGCAGCCCCGTATCTACCAGCGTTACGACGCTTCTTCCTCGGGTAATCGGTTTTCGTGTTTCACCGTGCTTACTTGTTCGACGATACGCGCTGACAAATACCCCGAATGGAACTCCGCGTCGATCGTGAAATGGCGGGACTTTGGGTGCTACGAGAAAGGCTGCTGAAAAATATTTATCACCGGATTTTTATCTCTCCTCCCCTCCCCTCGTTTCGACTATACCTCTCGTCCAGTTTCCAGTTTTCACCTTCTCCGTTACCCGGATATTTGCAGGGTATTAGTCGAAAATGCTGTACGAAAAGTCGCTCGATACCGCAGACTTCTATGATCGGGTATCGCGTCGAGTGATAAAGCCACTCGAGAAAGGCAATCGGTTTAATTACATCCGCGATACAGGCTTGGTCTATCTATCTGTATTTGACTATGACCGAGCAAGTGTCGCGGACGTGATCCGCGATCATGTCAAGGAAATATCGCTCCGAACATGTGACCGATCCGTCGAGTCAGCGGGATTCGGATGACACAACTTCGGGAAGGTACTTTAACGAGGAACGCGACCTCGAACGACCATGGCTGATGGAGACCGGGGTGCATTTGCATAAGAGCCCCCGTCAGACTCCGTCAGCCCCAGTCAAGATCTACGTGGACGTTGGGGTGACGCGACAGACTTACGAAACTCTTGCTTTCGCCACGCTGAAACTCTTCGTGACTGAGACATTACCGATCTATACGGCCCTATATTCGTGTCGGGAAATATATTCGCGGAAATAGAACAGAGTTTCGTGGTGAAATCGGGTTAATAAATCGCAATAAGAATTTTTACTCTTGATTTTGAAGGGACATCGCGAGGGATTAAATAAACGGAAAGCAGGATGTGTCGGATTTTGTTAGAGTTTATTATGCACGAGAGAGGCTATGCCGAGAAAAATGTAAAGGGTGTGAATCGCACTCTGGTTCTAACGAACTGCTTGCATTTTTTCCAGCTCTAGCCCACACGTGGTGGTCCGCGCGTCCGCGAGTTATGGTGGTGGTCGTATAGTCATAACCCCCAGGCCCCCATTGACTCGGGACCCTTGACGTCGCTACGAGTGGAAAAATATCTTTTGTCCTCTTCGGTAGAGATGCGTTCCTACAATTTTATTCTCAGTTTCGGAATAGCGTAAACGGAGACTCGAGATTTACCATGACGCGTGCTGCACACGGTGGACTGTCAAAAAGAAGTGTCACTTCGAAACCTTAGGCAAGGTTTTATAGGCTCCATGACAGCAGGCTATTGCATCAGTCAAGCTAGCTTCGAGGAACCATCCAATTTATCAATTTTCCTCGAAGCTAAGATCCCGATGCAAATGAATGCCATCTAAATAAAGATTCCTCTGACAGTTTTCTGGAAGAAGTTGTAAATAAATCGGGACGGAGAAGAATGTGGTAAAAATCGGATTAATAAGTCGAAAGTAACTTTTGACTCTGATTATATTTTATATTCCTTGTCGGTATAAAATAAACGCAGGCTCGAATTCTTCTATGATGCGTGGTGCAGATGGTGGACTGATAAAAAGTGTGTCGAAGCTAGGCTTCAGCTAGGCTTTTATAGGCCCTATGACAACCCGTTGCGTCATTCAACCCTGCTTCGAGAATTGATAAGCTAGATGGTTCCTCGAAGCAAGGATAGATCTCGATGCTGGGTGACACCATCCAAATAAAGATCTGTCAAAAATTTTCCGATCCCCTAATCGTTCGGAAATCGATGAATCAATACGCGATTGACTGACGATTTCGAAACCACCTGGTCAGGCACTCGGTTATCGATTTGCATAT